ATGAGTTATGGCCTTCACAATGAAGCACTGTTAGGCTGTCGACGAACTGAATGTTAGACTTTGATGAGCTTACACTTTAAGATCGGTCTTGTTCATGGCATATCCATACTCTCATCATCACTATCGTTCCTAAGCACATTTGAAATACCGATATTAGGGAGTAACAAATTCTTAATTTTATCATTATACAAACATAAGAATGAGCTCACCTTGCCTTTAGCTTTCATGGGCGTATCCGTAGGTGTCATGTCCTCATCATCCTCCCCTTCTTGACAGCAAACCATCCTCGGGTTGAGCTTAGTTGGAGGACAGGTTGTAGGTAGTAGTCACCATTGCTCCCCTTCTTGAAATTTAACCTTTTTCTTTATAACAAAACTTGGGGATCTCGGCATGACATGATTATATCTATTGCAGCCCTCTAATTGATCATATTGTTGCACAACAAAAGGAGATTTCAGATTTGAACAATTATAAACACGATGCAACATATACTCTTCTTTACAATTATATTTTTCAATAAAATGATATGTACAAGTAGACAACCATGGCAATTCAACACATTTAAGTTTCTCTTCCAAACTACTAAGAGCACACGGAGTATCAAACTCAATATAACCCAAAGTATTTAGAGAAAACAATAATGTTAGCTCATCTTTTTCAGCATTAATGGGAAGCAATTTCTTATTTTCAGCACAAGTATTTTGTTGCAAAACAAAAGAATCATTCTCATTCACTGGTTGTGGCACATGAATAATCATACCACTATCACACAACTCTTCTTTATCACAAAGATCTGTAGAAAATTCATCATGTTACAAAAGGAAATCAATATAAGGTTTTAGTATAGAATTATTAGCATCATTGGTGGAAAAATTTAGCACATCAAGAGAGCTCTTGCCTAACAGTCACCTTGTGCTCTTTTTTGATACATGCTGCAAAATATTAGTTCCAACAAGATGCAAAGTAATATCTTCATTTTGTAAAAATTCAGATTTAGATGAAGGTATTGTAACATTTGAAATAACCCATTCTTTTCTAAAAGGCCCATTCTTTCTCCTCTCGTCCCTTAGGAGATCTTCCCTTAAAATTTGAGCACTAGTCATAAGTATGTGTAATTTTCGTACCATTATATTTGAACAAATATTTATTAGTAATTGTATTGTGCACAACATTATTTTCAGATATCTATGGTTTACCAAATAACAAATGACATGATTGCATAGGTACTATATCAAATTTAGCGCTATCCTTGTAAGGACCAAGGGAAAACTCAATGCGTGCAATTTCAGTTGCGTTTATCTTATCCCAAAAATTTACCCATTAAGTGTAAAATGGATGTGGATGTGGCTCTGTGGTCAGACCAAGCTTCTCAACAATCTCTAAGCTTGCAAGGTTGTTGCAAGTCTCGCCATCAATCATAACACGACAACGTCGTTCCTCTACAACAAAATATGTTTGGAACAAGTTGTTGAACTGGTTTTGCTCCACCTTCTTCATTTGAGAACTGAGCACTCGCTGTGCAAACTCCGTAGTACATGCGGGAGGTGGCAGTGACGACGTTGTTGTAGCAACGGAGGACGGTCGTGTGCACGCTGCAGTGCCCACTTTAGCAATTATTTCATCCATCCTTGTAGACAAGCGGTCCATGATTTTCCTACAATTCACTCTTAAAAAGAATTTCGTTGCGTGGCATTGTTAGCAATCAAAATAAATGCCCTATCAACTATTTATGGGTCAGTGGAATCACACTCTTACACGTCTTACGAAGTTCTTACAAGGTTCTTACTAACACAAAGCAATGGACGGTACAACCGGTGGCTGGTTCGTGATACCTGTGAGGGCGTGACACCAAGATTGCAAGGGTCTTTTTCGGTACTGATCTGAAGTATATGTGGAGCTTGGAAGACACATAAAGAGAAATATTTTATATGTGGCACACAAGTCAGTAACGGATAACAATATTGAATAAATGTCCAGAGCACTTGTCCTAGTTGTTGGCCTATACGTGTCGGTGTTTCGAGTTATCAACTAGTAAATTTCTAGTATTGCGCGTCTGGCTCGGATGGTGTGCTTAGAGGACACGAGGTTTATACTGGTTCGGGCATAAAGTCCCTACGTCCAGTTCGTCGCTGCTGCTCGTGTTACTAGCACTGAAGGTTTGTAGTAGGGGTTACAAACGAGCGAGAGAGGGACTGGTCCCAAGTCTCTGATGTGCGTGTGCTCCTAAGGCGTGTTAGGGCGTGTGTTTTAATGCTACAGCCGTGTAGAGCGGTGAACGGCCCCCCTCCTGGGACGTCCTGCTTCCTCTTTTATAGACGAAGGGGAAGAGTAGGTTACACAAAGAGAAAGAGGGAGAAGAGGCAAGGAGAGGAAGGCTTCTAGGACCGTCGTGCCTTTCTCTTTCTTTATGCGGGTCCCGCAGACACTGCAGATGGTGACAGGGACGGCTCCACGCCGGGCGCCTGTTCGTCGCTGATGCCACGCCTCGGCGTTGTTAGCGGGTTGTGACGTCCCATTCCGTCCCGGCGGGCGACGCGGCGAACCAGCGTGCTGGTCAGTGGCCGTACAGGGAGTAGGCAACATAGTGACCACGCGTCCATCACTGTTGGTGATGTGAGTTCCCTGGAGTGACATGTCGTGGGCATGGGTCATGTTGAGATGTGCCAACTCCCTGCACGATGCCAGAAGTTTAACCTTGGGTTGCACTTTCTGGTCCGTAGTGGTTGGCGGCGGTACGGGCTTTCGTCAGGAGCCGCACCTGAGGGGTCGGGCGAGAAGGAGGCCCCGACCCAGAGGCCGGGCGAGGCGGAGCCCGCCCCCAGAGGTCGGGCGAGGCGGGGCCCCCGACCCAGGGGTCGGGCGAGGCGGGGCCCCCGACCCAGAGGTCGGGCGAGGCGGGGCCCGCTCCCCAAAGGTCGGGCGAGGCGGAGCCCGCGCACCTAGGGGTCGGTTGGAGCTGTAGTCGCGCTCTTGACTGCTCGGATGAATCAATGTTGATGACCATTAGCTCCTCATCGGGTACCCTAGTATTTGTCCCCGACAATACGTGTTCCTAGCATTAGTTGTGACAAACAAAGGGGTGAAACAAGTACGAAAGGTAGCAATGGAAACAAGGACAAGGAAAAAGGCAACACAAACAATAGCGCTTTTGGGTGTTCCTTATGTGCTCCTTTTCTCTTCTATTCTCTTTTCTTTTACTATTATTTTTTTATTTTCTTTTTTTGTTCAAACTTTTTTTTGCTTTTGGTCTTTTGAAATTTTTTCTCAGCAAGGAGCACACAAGAACAAATCACAAAAAAATTGAGCTCAATTGGATAAAAGATGTGGCCTATAGAAAATCAAGACTGTGCTCCAAAAAGCATACCAAAACTTATGGGCCTGGAAACTTGATTTTCCTGATTGAATTTCGCAAATCTAATTTTTGCGAACCCAGCATCGCTGGGATGAAAGGGATCTAAAATTTTCTGGCATTCTCCGTAGATATAAAATTCGCCCCGTTTCGAGTTCGGATGCAAAAGTTATGACTATTTTAAGGAAGCTGCTCGAATTAGGGTTTTGTGGACAAAAGATGTGGATTTTTGGATGGTGGTGGCTAGGTTGATGGAAAACAGCGGGGGATCACACAAACTAGACTCAAACATGATCTAAACCAGCAATAAGACCTTGACCTAGGACACAAACTCAACACGCGGGCTCTGAAACTGAAATATGCAAAGGCTATGGCACGGATGGTTCTATACATGAAACAAATATGGCGGTAGACTATGGGACGAAGGCGAAAACACTCGAACTAAGGGTAAGATGCGAACCTTATGGTATACCTAAAGCTCTGAATACCAATTGATGGGAACGGGGTTCACGATCTTCCGTTAGGTTCATGAAAACTATCGTTCTAGTCGGAGAGCAACACACCGATCCGGCTTTAGATCACAAAGACCCGAACCCTGCAACCTTAGCACCACGTCTCCTCTGGTTATCAACCGTGTCACAATCTAGTTGACCTCGTCGAGAAGGCTAATCCCTGCTGCGAATCGAAGAACACAAGCAAAAACAAGATAAAATGCAACTCAAGTGAAGTGACAATTGCGGATGTATGATTTAAGCTCTCGAATCTGGGGTTTCACAAACCGATAATGGCGACTGTTCAAAGACAGATTGATCTAAAGCAAAACCCAAACCATGATGAGGGCGGCTACTGATTATAAGGTGTTAGGGTTGTCACACCCTCTGGACGCGCCCCCCTAACGGGCTCAAAGACGATACACGGCCCAACGGACCAAAGACGGTGACGTAACACCTTGGCAGATTTTGGACGCTGAATTGTTTCGACGATTCCCGTTGACTCCGGTGGAATTTGGACCTAAAACCAAAGCCTTTGGTTAGCTTATGAAATTAGCTTTCCATCCATATGTGGGTCATAAAAAACGGAGTCCGGATGCGTCCTAGGCGTCCGTTTTATTGCAGACTGGTCCTGAAGGCTGAGGCAGACTCGAACTCAAGTTGGACCGGGCCTCCGGCTTGGCTTGGATGCCCTTGCTGGCCTCCTAAGGTGGTGGCCAAGGAGGAGGACGTCGAAGAACTTTCTTGGTGTGTTCTCCATCTCCTTGGGGTGTGTTCGACTTGGGCCTAGGTCCCAAGTGTGAATTGTTAAGTAGACTTGTTGCTAGAGGTTTTCAGCAGGCTCAAGGACGTGATTATGATGAGACATTTGCACCCGTTGCTCATATGAGTATCGTTCGTACTCTGATTGCAGTGGCTGCCACTTCAAATTGGGCTATCTCTCAGTTGGATGTTAAGAATGCTTTTCTTCATGGTGACTTGAATGAAGAAGTTTACATGCAGCCACCTCCAGGTGTTGCTGCTCCCTCAGGATATGTTTGTCGTCTTCGTCGTGCCTTATATGGTCTCAAACAGGCTCCTCGTGCTTGGTTTGAGAGATTTGTTTCTGTGATATGAGCTGTTGGTTTTTCACCTAGTGCTCATGATCCTGCTCTATTTATTCACCTCTCTCCACGTGGGTGTACTCTGCTCATGGTCCGGTGGTCAGAGTTGTAGCAGCTGGGAGGTAACTGCTCCAGCAGTGGCACGTAGAAAGGCGGTGACAATGGATGCGCCCGGGATCCACCAGGACGTGGGAGCAGCGGTGGAGAGTCCACCAATAGGATCTCATGCACATCCTCATTGTCGGAATCGAGCACCAAATGGTGGTCGGGACCGAGCTCCAAGTGGTGCATGTTGTTGGGTGAAGGTGGATCCACAGCAGGGGGCATTGATCTGTAGCGGAATGTGGAGGCGGAGGCTTCCGGTGGCGGTGATGACGCTTGAGGCCGGAGTGGCGGTGGGTTGGGCATGATGGGGATGGAGGCTTGAGCAACGAGATCTTCACCTTCGTTCTTGGGCTTGCCGGCGAGCTTGGTCTTGGCTGCCATCGGCTTAGCAGTGGCCTTGCCAGGCTTGGGCTTTGTCGGCGGCGAGGCAGGCGGACGACTTCTTGAAGGAGCTCCTCGCCTGTGGTCCACTTACCCTGTGGCGGCGAGCTTCCCCACGTGTGGAGCCTCCCCGTGGCTGGCCGGCGAGCGGCGCCCGCGAGCAGCGTCCAACCTAGGAGCTCACATCGTGGCTGGTGGCAGCTGGAGCTCTGGATGCACGAGATGTACGCGGCGGCGGCGGCGCAGGCGTTCTCCTGTGATGCTGGGCTGGCGCCTGGTGGCTTCTGTGGCTGTCTGGAAGGGGGCACAGGGCAGGCAACAGGCGGATCTGCCCTGACCTTCCGGAAGTACCGGAGAGGTCGGAGTCGTCGCCGCGCCCACTGTCTCCAGCGACGCAGTGGGCATCAGCCCAGGCAAACCCTGCTGCGGGAATGGGTGGCGCGGCAGAGGAGGCGGAGAAGCGGAGGCAGCGCCTAGTGAGGAGCTGATGCCTCAGCAACCGTTTGGCAGCATTCTCCCTTCTCCTTCTCTGCCGTAGAGGCCAGGAGGCTGCAGCATTGCTGCTCCAGACTCCGGAGGGATGGAGAGGCCGCCTTGCTGGTGCTCCAGCAGATCTGGAACAGCGGAGAGAACTCATCAAAGGTGGAGAGGACGAGCTCTGCCCTTGTTCACAAATAGACATAGTGTATATCTTGATGCATAACAAAAGCTATGCATCTAGAAAAGCCAAAACGACTTACAATTTGGAACAGATGGAGTAGTTAGCATCTTTTTGATCAAACACAATCTTTGCAGCTTACAAACTAACCCACCAAGATCCAAATTATTTCTTATTTTCTTTTTTTGTTGAGCTATATGATTTTCAGACAGAGTACTTATGGTTTACTTAATGGAATAAAAGTAGAGGCCACATATGATGATTTTTGGGTTATGAAATGCGAATGATAATGCCATAATGGAATAATCATGTGAAAAGAGCAGTCTGCACATTCCCAGCAAATCCAAGTGCAATAGTTGGACTAATCACTCAAATACAACTGCTAAGTCTAAAGTCAGTGGGTCTTGTATCCATCACTTCTTTGTTTTTGTTCATGATTTAGGTAGAATGTAAACTGTGGCATGCCTAATGTTATAGTGTGTCTAAAATATTATTTTTCATTTATCTGTAACTTTTACACAAAAGTGGCATGTGCGATTCTTTCGTACTCCATAGTGCTATCATTCTTGGGTTATTATTGTGTGTATTGACATGTCTTACTGGAATTTTTGTTTGGAATCCTTTGTCAAAATGATTTTTTGAAACCTTGTGCTCATGCTATGTTGAGAAATTAGATTTTGTACTTAAAGTTTTCCTATGTTTAAACAGAGTGGAGTAAGCTAATCACATGGTGAAGGCCTATTTTTAGTGTTACTAATGAAGTAATATATGCTCACTTATTGACATTGTTGAAGAACAAAATGTTAAATCTTACAATAACAAAGGAAAAGTCTACTTAACCCCACTAACAATTGATGTTCATCTAAATCACCCCCGCACCTAGAAAACTAGATATTATACCCTGTATAAATAACCCCTTGTGGTAGTTTTGCTAATGTGGCATATTATGTAGATGCTTACATGGCTATGACTCAGCAAGCAATAGGAAAAGTATAGATAGCCCCCTAACGTATTAAGGGTTGAGTACATAACCCCTCAACTATAAACCTAGTATTGTAGCCCTTAAAGCATCTAATAATGTTCAAATCACCACTGGATGGTTTTGTTGAAGGGAGGATGTTGGAGGGGATGCCGTGGGTGCAGGAGAAAGACATGACCTCCATGTTGTCAATGAGCGTTGGTAGGTGGAGGTGTCGAGCATTCCAGAAAAGAGATGGGAGAGGAGGCGAAGGGAGCTGTGAGGATGAGGGGTAAAATAAAAAGAAAACAAGAATGTACCCACCTACAGATGGGTCTTCGTATAAGCATGGGTGACGAAACATGCTAGTGTGGTGGGTATGGTGGCAAAATAACCCTACAAAACCATCCCAGGCCTACAACACGGGTTTTTGTAGTTAAGGGGGTTATGTAGTCAACCCTCGATATGTTAGGGGTTATGTGGATTATTTTCCCAATAACATATATATCATATTGGCAACGAATTAATAATCTCAGCTAATGCCTTCCTTGGCCTAATGTTCGTCATACCCATCTAGCTCACGCTACAGCTGCCACAACTGACTCCAAATGGGGGCCAATTCGCAAGTTGATGTTGTAAAAGATTGAATTTAGGCTTGAATTGGGAAACACAGATTTGTAATTGCCTATTGGTATTTTAGCTTTCAAACAATTAGAACATTTGTGCCCCCTCAATACCATTCCAGTTATCATTTTTTGATCACGTCCTCAGCTTACAGACTACCAGAAGCAACCAGGATCCAATTTAATTTCTTCTATTGAGCTGTATGATTTTAGGATAGAGCTTTTGTGGTCTTAGGTACTAGTAGAATTGAACCTAGAGGCTACATACAGCAATTCATGATAGATATGTACATTAGTAAAGTGTATATTAGGCAAGTCTATATTTAGTATGATTAGCACCTGCCATGTATTGCATGTAACCTGCCATGTATTGGCTATATATATCAAGGTCACCCCCCCACGTTGGGAGTGTGGTGTTTTCCATTCAATCTCTGTTATTCTACAATTCAGATCACCTAACATTCAGGTTAATTGTGAAATTGTCAAATAAGTATGGTTTAATATATGTATAATTGTATATTAACTCATTGATAAATATGATCTAATTGTTTGTCTTCCAATATTCTAAATATGCACCTACAATGTCGATTTTTGATGAAATTGAATTGACTATCTCATTCCCAAATAATTGCGACTAGTTTTTTGGAGTAAATTTCATTTCCATCACATGATTTCATGTTTCAGCAATCATCGTTGCACAGGGTCACAAACAAGTTTTTGGCCCACATCTTGGTCTAAGTTTACCATTGCTATGTTAGAGTTAATTAGTTTCACTGTTGACAATTTTAATGAGCTAAAAACCAACTTATGAGCTCCCATCTTGGTCTAAGTTTATCGTTGCTATATTACAGTTAGTTAGGCTACTTTTGACAGTTTTAGTTAGCAACAAACCAAAGATTATGAGCTCCTTTTTGGAATGTCAAGTATGACTGATGTACGTAGTACATAAAACAATATAATCATTAGGTTCATGTGTCAGAAACCATTCAGCATGTGCTGTTGGTTTTGACAAAAAAAAAAGGAAATCAGTTTTTTTTCTCAAACAGAAGAAAATTAGTTTGATAGAACATATTTATAAGAGCTGCATGTTCTCCTGATAATGAATTTTTGTTGCCTTTTACATTTTTATAACAGGGTTCAATAGTCACAGACAGCTCCAATACCACATTTTGTGTCTATGACTCCGATATTGCTACTGGATATGGTGTTGGTGCTTTCCTGTTTCTTCTCTCGGGCCATTCACTTCTTATGGGTGTTACGAGATGCATGTGCTTCGGTGCACCACTTGCACCAGGTGGAAGCAGAGCCTGGTCCATCATATACTTCGCATCTTCATGGTTATTTCTATTTCTATGCCCTATCACACATGACAAGAAAAAAAAACTTCAGTACTTTCGACGTTTTGTAGCCCCACTATTTATATATTCATGGCATATGTTTGCAGGATCACATTTGCAATTGCAGAGGCCTGCCTAATTGCTGGAGCAACTAAGAACGCATACCACACCAAGTATAGGGATATGGTATATGCTGGTAACTGGACTTGCCAATCTCTGCGCAAAGGAGTGTTTATTGCCGGAGCAGTCTTCGTGGTGTTCACCATGATTTTGAACGTCTACTTCTACATGTACTATTCTAAGGCCACTAGCCAAGCTGCCAAAAGGATCAGTAAGACAACTCCCAGCGTTGGCATGACTGGCTATGCGTGAGCAACCTCATAGAACTCCCTTCTAATTTAAAATAACTTATTTGTGTCGTTTTCTGCAACTATTTCTATTTTTGTGCCATTTTCTGTAACGCTGCAATGAGTGATTTTGGGACATGACTTAGTTTCAGTCAAATGTTTTTTTACTATATATGTAATATGCTCACTGCTTTTTTCCTTGCAAAACCAAATTACTCCTCTATAATGCGTCCTTGTATGTTTGAAGAGAACGAATAAAAATCCACTTGGTTATAATCTATAAATGTATAGATAGTTCGCTGCCCGTTGAATCATATACAATGCCCAAGCAGCGTCAGCCTCTCTATTTTTTGAACTTATCCTTATGGATGATACCTCTCCATTTGCTAGTTCTATACAGGCACATACAGAATGGCAATTCGGGACAGTGATTCACTTACGTTTTTACCACTTTTGTTGATGTGGCACATCATGGATATGCCAGTGCCTCTGTGAGCCCTAACTTGGCAGGGGAAAAGTCCTTGCCCTCGCACCCTTCTTTTGGCCTAGCCAGGAGCACAGGTGCGGGAGTGGGTTTAACCAGGAGGGACCGGCTAGGGCCAAAAGAAGCGGGCAAGGGCAAGGTCTTTTCTTGTGCTAAGTTAGGGCTCTCGGGGACGCTGCCGTGCTGGCAATGCCCACATGGCGTGCCACATCAGCAAAAATGACAAAAACATAGATGGTTCACTATTCTGAATGACAATTTTGTAGGTGCCTGTGTAAAGCTGGCAAATGGAGATGTGCTATCTGTAAGGATGGCAATAAGTTAAATATCCTGTTTTTATTGCCAAGTGATAGGATCTACAGGCTAGACGGGATGAATAGCCTGTAAAAAATTCTCTATAATGCCACAAACACTAGAGCAAAGTTAGTAGTACACTATGAGGTCCTTCTACTTTGCACTAGCTCTAATTCAACCAAGGCAACCCCTCCAAAATCAAAACTAGTAGCTTGATCTAGTCACATAAAAAAACAAGCTACCAACTAAACAAGGGTGCCACAACTAGCTAGAGCTACTAAGAAAGCAACTACAACTAGTTACAACTACCACCACTACTCTAGGCTAGGCAATCAACTACCACACAAACAAGTGTAAGAATGTAAGAACAAGAGTGTGATAGAGAGGAAACCACAATGGGCCAAGAGATGACACAAGATAGATCCCCGAGATTTGGTTGCTTGCAGGCAACCTACGTCTTCATTGTGGCGAGTCAGCACTTGATGGTTCGCGAGCTAAATGGCGTGACAAGCTAGACCCACCAAGGGTGTCACATGAACCACTCAAATGGTACAATCCAACTAGCCATGATTCCACTAGAGTTGCTCTTCATGATCTCCCGAGGGGATGTGCAAAAGATCCCCTTGCAATCACTTGATCAGAGTCACACCCAGGGTCAACTTCTTCGCGTGGCTGGTACTTGTAGATCGATTAAACACTAAGACCATGCTCTAAATGTTGAGGATGATGCACTTTGTGTTCTTTGTTTTGAAGAGGACATTGACCATCTATTTTTTGAATGCCCGTTTGCTGGGCAGTGCTGGAGCTCCATTAACTTCACCTGGGACACCAGTTTGCCATTGACAGAGCGGTTGGCCACGGCAAGCACTGTACATAATATGGAATTCTTCATAGAAGCAGCTCTCATTGCAGCTTGGGAGCTTTGGAAGCTTCGCAATGACAAGATTTTCCAGAGGAGAGACCCTACCCCTATAATTTGGCTAGCTAACTTCAAAAACCAATGTTTGCTTCAATCTGTTAGATTCAAGGATGATCTTAGATCAGCGTAAAAATACAATCACCAAAGCCGCTCAACGATCCTCTGCTACCTCTGAGCCATCTAGGTGGCGGCAACCACCAAGAGTAACAAGAATCCCGTAGCTCAACTCGATCTCTAGTGCCACTAAATGCAAAACTCAATGAAAATGCACTAGAATCACTCCAAATCTCAATTTAGACCAAGCAATAGGCAAAGAGATGAGTGGGAGGTGTTTGCACAATCTCACAAGGGTGTATAATGTGTTGGAGTGCCAAGACAGCGGACCTCAAGCCGACCAACGTCTATTTATAACACCCTAGGTATATATCTCTAACACTAGGAAACACATATGTTAGGCGATTAGATCTGCTGACTATATAAGGAGGAATGTTGGTGTTTTGTAGACCAACTAGTAAATTTATACGAATGTCGCGCTGCTCGAGGAAGACAATGGTAGCATCCAAAAGACACGAGGATATATACTGGTTTAGGCCCGAGCCCTACATTCAGTCTCAAAGATGATTGAGTGTGTGTTCCTCGCTTGAATGCTCTAAAGTTCTTACAATGGGGGTGCAAGAATGGTGGAAGAGGTAGGAGAGTGGAGCTAGAGCTAGAGGATGGACTGCCCGAATGAGAGCTTTGAGAGTCCGATGTCTATGGAAGGGTGCCCTGGCTGCCTGGCTGCCCTTATATAGAGTTTGGGGCCAGGTCACATACAAAGAAGGAGGTTCTCCCGACCGAGAGGTTGTGAGCCTAAGGGAGGAAACCTAGCTGACCTGGCTTGCAAGTAACACCATCTTGTCTTGGTGTAGTGCATGTCCGGGCATGGTTGTCGTCATGGTCTTGTGCCCACGTCGTGGCATGGTGTGGCATGGTGCTACTATGTCGGTTGTGGCAGCGCTATGGGCACGGTGGTGGTTCATCAGCCGTCCTGCGTGATGTGGTCTCGTCGTGGCCTTCGTCATCGCCTCCTGATCTCCCAAGGGCGTCGTACAGGAGTTGGTAGCCACCCCCAGGTCATTGGTCGTATTGCTTCTTGTGGAGCTGGTGGTAGTGGGTGGAGTCGTACGTTTATCTCGTCGGGCCGTATTTGGACGGTGGGTCACCATACTACCCGTCACCGCTCGGCGGTGTTGTGTTGTCTACGCTGCGTGGCGTAGAGATGGCATCTGACTAGGCTGAGGGGACTGTTGTCCCCTCGGTCCTTGCGGGGTCAGTGCGGCATGCTTGGCGGGGCTCGATCTCTCCCTGTTCCTCCCAGAGGTTAGGACAGAGGAGAGGTCGTGTGGAGTTGCGCGGCACACGGTGAAGGTAGAGGGAAGAGTCATGGGCACCCCCTGGCTTTGTGCTTGGCCCAGGTCCACAAAGCTTAGCTGGGCCTCGATCATTTGGGCTTATACTAGCTGGTGTACTATGGGCCCGCCCGAGCGGCTAACAAATCGGTGTCTTGAGATACCCGGAGTATCATAATCCCGATAGTAGCCCCCGAGCGTTTTTGCGATCACAAAGTGATCATGAAAGCGCTAATATTTGCATGAGTACAGGTTCATAGTCGTGGCTGTCCCGAGCTTCGGTGCTGACCCCTTGTGGGCTAGTGCGTTCAATGCGGTAGGTGGCTGTTACGTCCCATCCCGCTAGGATGCCCTGACGTTGCGGTACGCGACTACTGAGCCTGGCCGTGTCAGTCTGCTGCGTATCAGGGCACATAATCTAGGCGGGGCTGAGTGGTCTCGTCAACGCTGTATCGATTCCGCCTTTGGGAAGATCTCGATTTTCTCAACCTCACGCGGGCATCTGACCTCAGCTGTTACCTCCCATGGTTCGCCACGCGGTGTGGGTGTCTCAGGCTGCTCAGTCCGCCCTTGGGCCTATAAATAAGGGCCTTCCTACCATTTGAACCACCTCCAACCATGCTATGAATTGTCTTTAGCCTTCCTAAAAGGCCAAATTCTAAGAGAGTGAGGAAAAATGAGAGACGTTTCTCCCATGGATAGCTTCGAGCATGCGGCCCGCTGGGGTTGATCGCGTTGGCCGATGGCCGGTGTTGCTCCTTTCAACGGCTGGTGCTAGAAGAAGACTTGCGAGCAGGGGAGGACATGCTCGTGGTGCACATGCACTATGGAGATCAGGTAATCCCATCTTGGGCGAGATGGTTTTCCCCTGTCTCCTTGGCTCTCTGCCCATGCCCCAGTGGTGCTTGTGAAAGCCCACGGGTGCCCATTGAGGTGTCCTTTAGCTGGTGCGACCTCCGCATCTCTCCCTGTGCTCTTGTGCCCTGGAAGTCATGTTGCTACGGGAAGGCTGGTGTGGTGTTCTTTTCCACCTTATCCTTCCTCGCCAGCAGCACGGGCTCCCGGAGTTTACTGGAGATGCCACCGGTGTGGTGGTTCTAGATTTGACTCTTTGTATGAGGCTAGGCCACGTTTGTTTCTAAGATTGAAAAAGAGGAGCCTCTTTTCCATGCCATTTGTTTTGAGGTTGTTACGAGCCCCCGAGCTCTGCGGTCAGGGTCAGGCTCGCTGGTCTAGGGCTACAATCTAGAGCGAGTTGCCAACTCTTCTCTACACGTTGTGGGCAAGTCGACCCTTGCTTGAGCATCTTTCCTGTGACCATTCCTCTAGCTTGTTTTGAGGTTTCTCGATAGTGGCTGGGTTGCATCCGCTTTCCCTAGTGGCAGCACGGTCCGGGATGCCCTCGTCAGCCGAGAATTGCCGCTTAGGCTTGAAGCATCCCTTGCCATGCATGACCGGGGGTGATCTGCGTGAGTTTTAGCACCTTCCATATAGGGGTGCCTCTGCATGCTTTTTAGCCATTGGCCCAGCTAATCTCTCATAGCGGGGTTGTTGGCCTCCACTGGTCAGCAAGATTCTAGGACGGCTATGGGTCAGTGACCCGAGACGTGGGGAGGAGCAGGTCGTGGCTTGGCCTCGACCCTTGGCGGGGTTGCATGGACCTGACTCCTTTCTTTCCCGACACCCTTTTTTATCCCGAGTGGTCATGGTGCCTAGTTGTTGGCGCATTTGGTTTTGCCCCACATGGGGAGAGGCTCATCCACCATAACCACGTGGTCGGAGTGGTGCGCCTCGTCGAGGTCAATGGGTAATTCGAGTGGGACCCGATATCCTCTCCAATCGACATGGAGTTCGGCTATGCCTTGTCGAGAGATGTCCCATAAATCGTTGGCTGTCAAGCTTGTCAGTCCCCAACCACCTCTGTAGTGACCAGAGGG